CAAAAGGACTTGTAGTCACGCGGTGCCTGGTCAGTGTTTGTCTCTTATCTGAAACAGAAAACAAGGGAAGGTGGAATTAACTTCATGTAGCTCCTCCTTGCATTACCTGTAAAATATCTTCTCATAAATTTATTTTTCTTCTGAGACTTGCTATCACTCCTTTAGTGCAGTAAGATACTTGTATAACCTGGTAGACAGGACTGCTTTTGTTGAAGATAATGGTGAGCTACAGGAAATCAAAGCTTGCAGGTCTCTCAGGTGTGCCATGCACACCTTCTTAGGTGTGTTAGCACTTTGTTTTACTCAGGCACTCAAACCTGACTGTGCAGTGGTATGAACAGTACTCAGCAGCAGGTTAATTTTAGGCTGATATAACTATTTACTAATGAGTAATTTGAAGAAATTTATTGCCATCTACTTTCACAACAAATAGAAGTGGTTTAAGTAGTTCCTCTTTGGCTAGTACTATAAAATTCACTTTTAAAAGCCCTTTTTTAAAAAACAAACAAACAAAAACATCAAACACACAAAAAACAACTGTGAGGAGGCAGGTTTATAAGAGCAATGATTCAGGCTATTGTGTGAACTGGGGACCACCACCAAACTTTCTGCCTCTCCTTTACTCTTGCTATAGCTGTTGGACAACAGTTACAGAAAGTAATAATTTAAATTAGTATGGGATTTTGACTTCCTTTGGCTTAGTACTGTATTTTATTATAATGCTGCTGTAGTAATTACTACATTTTATTGTATTACTGGACATCCCAGGCCTTTGTGGGCAATGCCTTGCTGAAAGCATAGCCGAGGAAAAGGCCCAGTTTACTCTCGTATGCAGAGAACTAACTCTGAGCTGTTGTTGCATTTTCTTCATTCCCCAAGTTGTGCTGATGTTGGAGATAATAACATCTAATCATTAGCACTATACAACGTTAGTATATTAATGATTCAGTATTCAGGGCTGCTAAATTGGTCTTATTTTTAAGTTCCATCCTCGAAATTATTTAAAGAATGGTTTTGATTTTTTCTTTTAAAGGCCTGGAGGCCACTGAAGTAAGTACAAAACATTCCTTTAAGATGCTCAGCTGATGAGCAACTCCATAAAAATGGAAAGAAGTACAGAGAAAATAGAACTTTCAAGTGCAGGAAATAAACTTATACCACAACAGCAAATAGAAAATAAGTCTCTTGAGAGCTGGCGCAGAAAGCGGCCAGAGGGCAGACATGATCTGGATTGAATTATGAGGATGATAAAAATGGGCATGAAGAAGGCAGATCATATGTGAATGTCAAATCATTCATGGTTAAGTGATTTATTTTTTTAAAGGTTGTGGATTTTTTTCCTTTTAGAAATACTATCTAGTAGAAGTGATTTTCATTAAATATGATAATCACATTCTTTTAGAGGGTGAAATATGATTTAAAAATGTGATTATTTTTCTTCAGGGCTGGCTATGTGAAGCTCTGATGCCTTGTGTATTCCAAACCTGTAAGTGTCCCATTAAGACTGTACACAATAGTGGTGAACTGAGATTCTGGTAGGTTTCTTCTCTCTTATGGCTTAATTTGTGCCATGTTTTAAGTTTTGGATTTGTTCCCTAGTGAAGGTGACCTCTCTGAAGTCTAAAGGGGTGAAGGCACTCTACCTCAATACAGGTGTTTTGTGTAGCATCTGCTTCCATATTATCAGGCACCACAGCAGTTAAAGATGTATTACTTTAAACAAAATAAAATAAACGCCAGTACAGTAGTTCCTACTTAAAGCAAATTGTCTGGCATACTTCTCAGAGTAAGATGAAATGCAATGCTGTGTAGGAGTAGTATCAGCATACTGTGATCTGCAACAGAAAGAGAAGGTAACAGCAAACTGAAGCCTTAGAGTGGGGGTGGATTGCTTTTTAAAAACAAAACAAACCCCCAAAAACCACATCTGCAGAGTATTTGCTGTGTTATAGTACCAGCAGGGCAAGTTGTTCACCGAGTTCTTTGAAAAGCAAAGTGCTCCAAGTGCTTCACCTGTCAGGAAACAAATACAAAAGGGAAGAAGGTTGTCTGTGCACATACAGGGTGTTTTGAAGCTTAGTACTTCTTAGTTCTCCTTGTATTGTTTTTTGTCTGTAGCTTCAAGACAGGATGAATAATGAGGTTATATCTGAAGCTGTTTCCAAAGACAGGGCTGTGCTGTGAGTCAGTTTTAGAACTTAATTGCAGAAAAAGAAATAGGTACAACTGAGAAGCGGCTAGTGCTTGTTGGAACGCCTCCTTCTAGAAAGTGCTTCATTTTCTAGCATGGTATCTCTTTACAATTTTTTCTGCACTGTAAAATGAGACCATCTTAATTCCTTGCCAATTATATATTAAATTCTTGCATTAGCATCAACGAAATAGTACTTTATCTTACCAGAGACACTGAGAATTCACCCTTTTGCTAGAATGTGACAATTTGTGTTAAATCCATCTAACAGTGCAAGCAAGGCAGGACACCTGGCGACTGAAGTTGTAGATGGAAGGACACTAAAACCCGGTGGAGAGCATATTTTTACATCTTCTAATAAACTGGTACAACTGCAAAACCACTAGCTGCTTAAGCTGATCAGTTGCAGTGAATTAGGAATGTTAGCTGTATGGATAAGTTGGTTTTCTGTGAGGCTGTGGGCAAGTTATTAGGTGCTTGCCTGGGGAACCTACAGTGTTTCCCTCCTTTCTTAAGGAGGCCTTTCTTGCCAAAGGTTTAAGTTTAAAGGTGAAGTTTTTATTTAATTGCTATCTGAGAATACTAAAATAATTAATTTAGTCTTTTTCTTTCTCTTTTCTTATCTTCATCTCTTCCTCCAATTAATAAATTGTGGATGAGTGCTCACCTAGAGACCTTTGTAGCTCAGTGTTTGAGGTTTTAATTTGTTACTACCCTTTGCGTTCTGTTTGATAGCAAATGCGTTTTTGGCTTTTTACTATGTCTAGAGAATGAGGTTTTAATGTTTAGCCTGGCTTGCAACTGCCTGTTCTTATCCTCTGTTAGGACTGTAGGGAGTTAAAGGGATGGGAGAGAAGAAGTAATTGCTGTAGTGGACTGTACAGAGCAGATACAATACTGTTTCTTTCCAATTTTATTAACTACACTTTCCCCAGTGCTTAAAGTAATAAAGATTGGTTATCTGTCAGGACAAAATAGAAGTATAGGTTTAAAATGCATTTACATCAGCACCTGATTGCACAATTCAGTTTCTCATACTACCTGTCACTTGTACCCAGAGCTGCAAGTGCTTCAAGTATTATGCATGCAGATCGTGATCACTAAAAATTTATGCTGTCTCTAGAGAGAAATGTTTAAACTTGCATACCTATCTCAACTTACATTTTAAAACAAATGAATTTTATTATGTTAACTTAGCTTATATGCACCAATTATTTTTTCTGTAATAGGATTTCAGTTATGCACAGTCATAAGCTGAAAGGAAAAAACAGTTTTAAAGCTCAAAAAACCCCTCAAGGACTCTTTCATAAACTTCAAATAGCTATCATAAAATGAGTTTTAAAAACAAAGAAATTGCATATTAACCAGGATGTGTTTTTTCTCTTTTCAAAAACAGGTGAACCAAGACTGGTATTTACAGAACATATTTGGTTTTTCTTCCAAATAGAAGATAAATGTGTTAAGCTGGCAAAGTAAATCTGGTAAGAATTTTCCTGTTACTTGTACAGTGAATGTCATTATATGTATAGGTATTCGGTCTTGCCACTAAAAGGAGCTTTTTGTACCAGTAGTGCTAACAAAATTGCTCTTTCTTACAAGATCTTGTTTTTTAACCTAATAATTGCATGTAGATGTTTCTTGATCAAGCAGTATTAATCCACTGCTATATTTAAATATTACACTGAAAGTTATTTGACTCTTTTAGCGTGTTCTGTGCTTGGACATGGTGAAAATTTTTGAGTTTCAAACATTTTACTTCAGCTTTATACAGAAATAAAAGGGGTTAAATATGTCATAGTATTAATTCTGTGGTTTTATGTGGATTAAATGTTCTTGTTTCTATAGCTGCCATCAGTGATTCTTGGTTTTGTTTTGCCTTCCTCAGTGATCCTCTTGACTTTTCTGCATCTAAGTCTTGCATTTCTTGTTTATTTTCAAGTTTGTTTTAAACTTTTCAATGTGTACTAGTGCTGACCAACCAAAGAATGCTGTGGCATAAGATAAAACAAAAATAGTGTTTTTATAAGATGGAGTGAATAGACAAAGTGGATGAGTCCCTTGTACTTTATCTAAAGTAAAATTAATCAGTTTAGGAATCAGTAGCAAGGCTTTTGGTATTTTCTCCTGAACATGTACAGTAGAATCGTATCTTGAATTAAGTACACTATAGTAGTGACTGCCACCCACTCCGTGTTGCTTGAAGGAAAACACCATGAGAGCTGGTAAATCTAAAGCATTGTTTTTGTGAAACTCCCACATTTATCTTAACTCATTATTTTTTTTTTTTTCCCCTTGAAACAATCTGCATGTTGTTGGAATACATAACATGATAGAGGATAATGTGTTCAAATAAATGATTAAAGAACGTGTTTTCTGTGCAATGCTGTATAGGAGCCTACCTATTTTCTCCTTGCACTTCAGGTCAAATACCTTTTAGAGCAGATGAAAATTGAAGCTAACATCTAGGTTACAAAAAAAAGCTGAAACAAAGTCATTAGCTTTCATTGATGCAGTGGGAGGGAATGCTGTACGTCACAGGCTTTTACCTGATAGGCTTAGAAAATGAGTGTTTGGGGTTGTGGGCTGTTAGAGGATTTCATTTATTTCAGTGAAATTTCTGCTAAGCTTTTCTTCCTCGCTTCCTTCCACCCTACACTGGTGTATTGATTCTTCAGTCCTGCAGACACTCCATCCTTTGCAGGGGTCAGGGAACAGGGAAGAAATGCTCCTTTCTTCCCTGCAGTCTTTTTTCCATAAGGAATGTATTTTCTGATGGATTTAATTTCTGTACTTCACTTACAGCTCAGACATGAGCAGTGCCAGTAACTCACTGGCACGGGAATTCTTGTCGGATGTCAACCGACTGTGCAATGCAGTGGTCCAGAGGGCAGAGGCCAAGGAAGATGAAGAGGAAGAAACTCATATGGCAGCACTAGGACAATATTTGGTTCAAGGCCGTGGATTTATTTTGCTTACCACACTGAACTCAACTATTGATCAGGTAATAATTTTTCTTACCTGATTATAATTTTTGTGTTGAGCTTTGACTGTGCTGAAGGGATTTGTCTGGCTCATGTTCTTCTCTGTGTGTATTTCCTTGCCTTTTTATGATAGAGTGTATCAGTTAATTTTGAAGACTAGAAATTTAAAGAATATGTTGCAGTTGCATTCTGTTTTTCACCAAGAACAGAAAAAGAAAAAATAGCTGATCTTGTACCTGTTTGCCAGCTGGTACTGATAGTTACTAAACTTTTGACTAGTTAAGGCGTGTGTGAAGCTAGAGTACAGCAGCTGGGTGGAAAGAGGCAATAAGTTAGAATTTTTAGGAGAAATGAAGCTGTTTACTGAGCCTGCAGTACAAACTGACAGTCTTTAATTTGAGAAGGTTTTCCTGGTTTAAAGCAATAAAATTAAATACACACCTTTCTATTTTGTTTATAGGCCACGAGATACATTATGTTCAAGTGCAAGTTACTTAACACAGAGCAAAATAGAAAGCAAATGGTTTGTAACTTTAGCTCAAAAGAAAAAGCATTTTAGAAATAATCAGTTTATGCTATTTTTAATATTAAAAAAAATCTAACACACATCCCTGTAGCTGCAAATGTCCATTTTCTTCTCTTCTTTCTCTTTTTCAACAGTATTGGATATGTACTAAACAATGGGATGAGATGTACATTAAGTCTTTGTGCTTTGAAACTGCAGATCCCAGTGTTTAAAAATAATGAACCGAGTGAATTCTGATTGAGTTTGCTTAGTCCTTGTCTTAAATTATGTCAGCTGTTAATGCTGGTCAAATTCCTCTTCAGCATTTGCTTTTGTTTCATGAGGTGACTTGTGCTCAGACTCCAGTCAGGTCTGATGGCTTGGTTCTGGATTCCAGTAGGTACACTGGCTAAACAGTAAACCCACAAGACTGCAATTATATATAATTACTAAGAAGAATCCTTACCAATTCTGGAGCTGTGAGTTTTTTTAGGTGTCACCCGAGTTCTGCATAGTTGCTGCTAATAGAGGCTTTGGAACTAGAGCTGCTGGAAAAACAGCTGGCTTTCATGTAAAAAAAAAAAAAATGGAGGGTTTTGTGTGCCTTTCTCCCCAGTAAAAACCTGCTTCTGAAGTAGAAGAGGAAAAAACCATTGTGGCATTCTTTCTGAAATATCAGCAATTCAGCAATTATTTCCTGATGAAGCATGTCTAAGAGGGGAGAAGGAAGAACTTGATTAATGAGAAGTCAAATTCTGAAGGTGTACCACTGAAACTTGAAAAGTTAACATTTTACTTTTTCCAGTCTCATTGTGCTTTGAATGCTGTATTGCTCATTCCCATTCCTAATTGATTTGTCTTGCTAAAAATAGCTTTAGTAGCGGAAGAGAATTGGGAGAATGGCTTTGAAAAAGCTTACTTTTCAGCTCTAATTGCGTTGTATCAATAATGTTAGATTTTAAAGAAATGTTTCATTTAACTTTATCATCTCACTTGGCAGATATTGACTGTTTTATATATAGCTATATAATACTATATATATAACAGTGTATTTTTAGTTATATCACTAAGTTGCTTATCTCAATAGATTTTAATTTCATTGCTACCTTGAATTTTTGGAGAAGGATGTTGCTTCAGCTGCATACCCTTGAATGCTGATAGCTGACAAAATGTTCAAGTCAGCTTTTTGTGTTTTGAAAAACAGGAGCACCCAGTAAATGAGTTGTTTAAATCGTGCCTTCTACTGCTCCTATCTGCCTTGAAATTCTTGGTGTCAAAGTCTTAGAATCCCAGTAGAAGTGAGATTTAGTTAAGTGGCTGTTCTTTTTCTTATTTTTTTTTAATTAGGAGTAACTTTCTTTCCTCCCATAAAACTTCCCCTTTCTATTGTGGGTCAATAACATTACTTGATAAATGTAATCTTTTTCATTTGCTTAAAGGTGTCATTTTGGAGAAAGTTGAAAGTTTCCCATAAAGTTACATTTTTGTAACTACACAAGTTTCAGACTTGTCTTGGGCTTCATGTTGCCTCTGTTTAAATGAACAAGTTATTTGCTTTTGACTTCTCTGGCTTTGTGCTTTATTTGGGTGAAGAATTCCTTCAACAAGAAGGATTAGGAGGGCTTTGTATACAAATAGTTGCAGAGGTGTAATAAATATTTTGGATGCTTTCTGATTGGCTCTAGTTAATGATTATGGCATTCTTTGCAGTTATGTCACCCTTCCAGTGACAGCAAACTGTAGAAAGGCATAGGGAACTGAATGTTTAATAGCTTTGTAAAATAAAGTACAAAAGCTTTTGTTTCTAATGTAGGAGTTGACATGTCGAGAAGAACTTCTGACTCTCCTCCTGTCACTTCTGCCACTGGTGTGGAAAATCCCTGTCCAAGAAGAAAAAGCAATAGGTATGTCTTATCACTTGTGGTATTAAGGAGCTAGAAGAAGTGATTTGTGTATTACTACAGAGCCGAGGACTCCCAACTAAACAGCAGTAGTTCATTGTAATACATAACCTCTTAACACAGAATGAAGATTTGGATTCTGCAAAGACTTTAAACTCAAATACCAATGTTCTGTCAGCATACAAGGAAGATCAAGATTGTACAGAGAAGGTAAAGGCTCTTGGTCAGTGTGAAAGGCAACACTGATAACACTGTGTAGCTGAACTTGGTGGTGGTGGTGAGACTTCTTTTTTTCTTTTCAAGTGATTTGAAGGGAAGAGAGATTTGAAAGAGTATTGGTATTTTTGCTGATGTGAAGTGTTTCATGATGGGTAGAAGGGGAAAACATACTGATTCTTTTTAAAAACAAAAAAAATGGCACATGCTGATGCCAGATTAGTCAGAGACAGGATAAGACAGACTTTTTCTTCTGAAATTGAAGAAATGGGGAGTAGAGAATAAGCTTAAAGCCAAACAATGGACAACAGAGTATGAAAGAAGTGTAGTGTTATCAGAGAAGCAGGCCCTGACAGTAGAATAATACTGGATGATTATTAACAGAAGCAGGCTGCATTCCTTAGAAAATATGATAGTCTGTGTCAAACTGATGTGCTAACTGAAGAATCAAATCACAAGGGTTCAACTACTAAAGAATCAGTTTATAGTGAATTAAAGAAATGAAAGGGGTAATACAAAATGAGCTGTGCAAAAACTGAAGCAGGAAATGACAGTGATTTTTTTCTTTCTTTTTGTTTGTTTTGGGCTCTTGCACTTGTCTCATGCATTCTTTTCCCTACTAGAGGATAAAATAGAGGATGAAACAAATGAAGTCATCTGTCTGAGAGAGTTCCTAAGGATTCTGACCTGAAGCTCTCCAAATATTTTTTTTTTCAATTTTGAACTCCTGCAAATTGAAGGCTTTTGTTGATGTTTGTAGACTTTGAGTGTTTAAAGTGCCAGTTTTATAGCACTTTTATATAATTAACTTTCCTGCTTGCTCATTTGCTTCTTTCTTTCATGTTCCTGTAAGCATGATCAAATTAAAGAAACATTTTGGTTACCTTATGAAGAACTTAGTTATTTTTCCAGGGTTAGTTTAAAGTGCTGTCATGTAAATAGGTTTTAAGGTGTTCTGGTTTTGCACTCTGCATAATGTACAGTTTTTGCTTCTACAAATGTCTGTCTTATAGTACTGAGGCAATAAACATGATGTATCTGTTGTGCATTAAGAACTTTTTTCTCTTTCTCTCCTTGGATATAAAGTGTGTCTTAATCCAGCTACATCAGGCAGCTTTTTTCTTTCTCTGCAGGAAATATGCTTTATCTGATAAAGTACTCCTAGTTAATTTCCTGCCTCCAAAGCAGATGATGTTTGTTCCTTAAGCATCACAACTGTGACTTCATTAAATGAAGCAGAGTCATACTTGCATGTGGAAACATCTTTTCTTTCAGTTCAATTAATGATCGTAGCTATTGTGTGGGCTTTTGGGGTTTTATGTGGTTGAGGGGACTGTTAACTATCACATTTTTCTAAATACTAAACTTCCTGAATGGTGCATACTTACTGTTGTTTTGTGCTTTGTATTTTACTGCCCAAAGCATCCAGTTACAGTTCTGCCACTGCTTAAAAATGACAATGGATTTTATCCAAGAACATACAGACTTGTTTCTCTGCTTGCTTTTTCAACAGTTCATGGTCTGAGTTTACCAGTACAAATGAGCTGAAAATATTTGTATTTTATTCTCCAAAATCTTCTTTCCCATTGAATCAGATTTAAATTTTATATTAACTATTTTGTGCTACGTACTTGAAAGGTATTTTTGTCTTGTCTTGGCATTTGTAGGAATATTCAGCACCTTAAACATTATTCGTTTCCATCTCCCTCTTGTCCCTGACTATGTTAAAATCCGCAACTCTTACTTCTGCTTTTTGTGTTTGGAACAATTAATACTGAAGTAAAGACTGAGGTCTGTGTACTTGAAGATCTGCACTGTTTCTGAGAGAAATTTATTTTTTCTATTGCTGCTAGTACTCTAAGAATTTCTTCATGATTCTAAGAGGGCTGTGAGTTGTGTCCTGGTTTTTAGCTCTATTTCAGCTAAAACCCAGGACATTAAGGCATTCAGTTCCTGTAGCAGCTGAGTTGCAAAAAGTGACAATGGGTCATCGTGTTTAAAGTGGACCTTTTTTCTTCACTTGTTGTGGGATAGGACTACTTGGCAATGCTTATAGTGAGACTTCAGATATATCAAATGGTGTATGCAAAGTAAACATTGCTCGAATAACTGCCTAAAACTGCTTCCATAGCTAAATAATAGGGGAGATCTCAGAGTTGGTATCCTGCTGATTAATATTTTACTCCTACTTTATTAGTATGTCTAACTTATCCAAATTTAAATTGAGTGTAACTAGAGACTTGTGGCTGTATTGTTCAACATTGTATCCTATCTGTAACAGGCCAAAAGATTTTCCAGAGTAAGCTTTCTTCCCTTTGCTTCCTCAAAAGTCCTTTCATCTACCTTGATAACATCTTTTCCTAAGAGAGTGGAATAGCTATGCCTACAAAAAAGTTTTAGGAAACCCTCAAGCACATTTTTGTCTCACCCTAATTAGAAAATGAACTAATTTGTCTAGGCTTTGAAAATAGCCAGTATGGTTCCTAAACATGGGTTGTTGCTGACATTTTTTTTAATACTGAAAATGTCAGATGTGTATATGTAAAACCATGACGTATTAATATATTAATTTATTTCATATTTTTTAAGCTGGAATTATTAAACTATAAAATTAGGGGAAATGCTTTACATATAATGTTCCTGAATGTTTCTTTGTTGTCTTTCTGTTTCTACAGATTTTAATATACCCTTTACAGTAGACATATGCCTGACCAAAGAAAATAATTCAAGTTCCATGAAATCTACTCAGGAAAAACTAGGCTTAGATGGCAGCACTCGTTCATCTCTTCAGACTTCCGTAAAACTAAATGCTCGATCTCGAAAAAGTGGACGTCTGCGCAAGACCACCCATCGTTACTCTGTGCGAGATGCAAGAAGATCTCAACTGTCTACTTCAGATTCAGAAGGCAATTCTGATGACAAGACTCCTGTAATAACAAAACACAGACGCTCCCATTTACTGCAGCCTTTTTTAACATATCCAGTTCGGGACAACTACCTTGTAGGTAGAAGCGATTGCCTACCTGCGGAAACAGTACCAAGTTCTAATCCTGATGCCCCTAATCTTGAAAATTCCAGCCAAATTATTACAGCACATGAGCTAAACCCAGAAATTTTGAATGAGCCAGCTGCAGGAGTTACCGAGAACAACATGGATAACTCTCCCTTTGAGTTATGCCATGTATTATTGTCACTCCTAGAGAAGGTGTGCAAATTTGATACTGCTTTGAATCACAGTTCTGCTCTTTCAGCTAGTGTGGTGCCCACATTGACTGAGTTCTTATCAGGATTTGGAGACTGCTGCAGTGTAAGTAGTAGCATGGAAAATGAAGTAGTTTCTGCAGGGTGGACAGAAGAACCTGTGGCTCTGATCCAAAGGATGCTTTTTCGAACAGTGCTGCATCTTATGTCTTTAGATATTAGCAATACAGAAACAATGCCTGACAACTTGCGAAGAAATTTAACAGACTTACTTAAAGCAGCTTTAAAAATCAGAATTTGCTTGGAAAAGCAATCTGATCCTTTTGCTCTAGGATATGACAAAACACTACAGCAGCCAGTTCAGGATGACTTCGTATTTTCTAGATATCATCACAGAGCCTTGCTTCTGCCTGAGGTTGTAGAAGGAGTCTTGCAGATTTTGATCTGCTGCCTACAAAGTGCAGCCTCCAATCCATTCTACTTTAGCCAAGCTATCGATCTGGTTCATGAGTTCATACAGCATCAGGGATTTAAGCTGTTTGAAGTAACCGTGCTTCAAATGGAATGGCTGTGTATGAAGAATGAGGGAGTAACTGGGGAAGCCTCAGAGCACCTGAAAGGCCTGATCAACAGCATCATGAAAATAATCAGTACTGTCAAAAAAGTGAAATCGGAGCAGCTCCATCAATCAATGTGTACGAGAAAGCGGCACAGACGATGTGAATACTCTCACTTCATGCATCACCACAGAGATCTGTCTGGGCTTTCTGTATCTGCTTTTAAAAACCAAGGTTCCAAAAACCCCTTTGAAACTTCTGATGGAGAAGTTCATTATCCTGACAGATGCTGTTGCATTGCTGTGTGTGCACACCAGTGTTTGCACTTGTTGCAACAAGTTTCTTTGAGCAGTACTTGTGTTCAGATTCTCTCGGGTGTCCATAATGTTGGAATATGTTGTTGTATGGATCCAAAGTCTGTGATTGTCCCACTGCTTCATGCTTCCAAGTTACCAATATTAAAAAACTTTCAACAGCACATATTGAACATCCTTAACAAGTTTATATTGGATCAGCTGGGTGGAGCAGAAGTTTCTCCAAAAATTATGCAGGCATCATGCAATATATGTACTGTTGACTGTGATCAACTTGCTCAACTGGAAGATGCCTTGCAGGGCAACTCTGGTGATGCTAGTCTTGCATATAGTTCCTCTTGCAGAGTTCAAGGAATTCTGCCTAGCAGTGGATATGAAGATATGTTGTTGAGATGGGATGCGTTGGAGGCTTATCAGGACATTGTTTTTGAAGAAGACAAACTACGTGGCATGCAGATTGCAAGCCATATTTGCCACTTAATTCAAAAGGGAAATGCAGTGGTCCAGTGGAAACTATATAACTGTATTTATAATCCTGTGCTTCAGAGAGGGGTTGAACTAGCTTGCCACGCTCAACAACTTGGACTAACCACAGCTGATAAACCCACATGCAGTTACCATAGCCAGTGTTTGCCTTCTGAGGTACTTCAGGTTTATTTGCAGATGCTCCCTGTGTTGCTTAAATCCAGGTTGGTTTATTTTCTGTTTTTTAATGGAAAACATGCTAATTGTGTACAGATCTTTGTATATTTGTTACTGGTCAGAATGTAAGTTTTATTTGAACTGTAGGCTGCACTTGGATATTGCAGAGGTGGCAACAAGACAAATGCTTGAATAACATAAGATTTAATCCTAGATTCATAAGCCATAGAAAGTGAGGGTTCTCCACTGATGAGTTATGGTCTCTAACAATCCAAAGAGTGTAGAAGCAAATAAAATCTTTGTCCAAAGTGGTATGCTCTTTGCCTCTTCATCCCTCATGCTAAAGTGAGTCAGGAACATTGAACAGATTGACATTTAACTTTTTCTGTGGGAATTAACTAGTTGATTTTCTTATCTGTTTCCCTTTTCCTTCTAGAATGGTCTTAATGGAAACCACCTTTAAAAAATAAGGCTTGAGAGATTTACTTGTCCTGAAATAACTTTCCTAATTTGCAAAATCCTGTTCACTAAACATAATAGTTTAAAAAAAACCAAAAAAACAAAAAACAAAAAAAAACCCTCCCAAAAAAAACCCCCCAAAAACCCACAAACATTCTTCCAAGGCATGAAATTGAAACTTTCCTATTTATTAATTGATGAAATAATTGTTTAATACAATATATGGAAGCTTATTCAAAATATGAATGTGTCCTTTCATCCAGGAAAGATTCTCATCTCTTCTGTTGGATTCCTCATAGAATTAAGTGAATTTAATTTAATAAGAAACAATTATGAAGAATAGACTAGTATTCTAGTTTATGTAAAGGATTGTCTAACAATTATTTTTTTTTTTTAGCTTTTATCCTAACCTAAACTGTATCAGAAGCTATTAATTTTTGAAAGTGCACTTAGTGGCAAAGAGGCAAGAGAAGTAAAGTTTAGATTAAAGAAGTTTGATATCTTATTTCCTACCGGTTTAAAGATGAGAATATACAAATAGTTAGATGATTCATTTGATTCTAGACTGTGGAACTCTGTTATAGTAAAAGCTGACCCTGTAGGAAGGAGATGGGAGAGTAAGGAAGGTGGATGTCTACAAGTAGACATATTACACTAAGAAGCTCACAGATCTTTACCCCAAATTCTGTATGAACTCAATGTAATACTTGGAATAGAAAGAAGAGAAAAATATACTTGGGAAAAAATATATTGAAAAGTTTTTATAACATTGGACATCTTAGCATAACAAAGGCAGAAAAACTTGTGCTTGAAAGGTATTCCTGAATTCTGTCTGAAATACATTGTCCAGGCAACTCATAAACATAGCTAATAAAATGTCTTAAAACTTCAAGTGACTTCATTAGAAAGTAGAGATTCCTTCTCAAATAAACTTGAAGTTTTAAGAAATTTTACTAGCTATGTAAAACATCTAGTAGCTCCAGTTGCTAATAAAAAGTTATGGGGAGGAGGTACCACTAGAGAGCAAATGTCATAAATAAAGTTAAACACCTTTAATGTGTTAAACATCATACATGTATAGAATCTACATTTTAGAGGTTAATCAGTATTTCCTGAATTATATCTTCAAAAACCCCTGAATTTTCAACTATTGAATGGAAGATGCTTACTTGGGATTCTGCAAAGTACTGCAAAGAAGTTCCTCCTCTCTTTAACTTACACTTTACAGTAATTTATAGCAATTACTTTAAACATGATCAGTCCTTGGTGTTGCTGAGGTGTGTAGAACAGAGGATTATTTTTGGATAAGATGTGTCATCTGAACTACATGAATTTGTGGCTGATTTTTAAGGTTACTCTCTTATGCTTTGTCTTGCAGGGTAATTAGAGACTTGTTTCTGAGTTGTAATGGAGTGAATCAAATGACTGAGTTAAATTACTTGGATGCTTTAAGAAGCCATTCTTTGAAAGTGTTGGAGACTTTGATACTCTGTCTTGGTGATCAGCAGAAAGACCAAGCAATGCCAGAACTGGAAGGCCTGAACAGTGAACAAAAGGAGTCTACACCTGACTTGCCTGCTTCTCTTTGTAGCCAGCATACTGTATCAGAAGTTCCTCAAAGCCTGAGCAAGTTTTATGCTGGCTTGAAAGAGGCGTACCCAAAAAAGAAAAAGTTTGTGAGCCAAGATGTTCACATCAACACAATAAACCTATTCCTCTGTGTTGCTTTTTTGTGTGTAAGTAAAGAAGCAGATAGTGATCTGGATTCAGCTAATGACTCTGAAGATACATCAGGATATGATAGTACAGCTAGTGAGCCATTAGGCCACAAGTTACCATATCTGTCACTGGAGAGCCTTACTCTGCCTTCCCTGGAGCATATTCACAGGGCTGCAGATATTTGGTCCATGTGTCGTTGCATCTATTTGTATAGTTCAGTTTTCCAGAGACAGTTCCATAGACTTGGAGGTTTTGAAGCATGCCATAGATTACTGATCCTGATAATTCAGAAACTTGCAAAAAATAAGGAAAAGGAGGAAGAAAAGAAGGAAAGAGTATTGCGTGAAAGGAGCAGAAGTTCACATGGGAGTCCTCGTGGTGAGCTTCTCAACAAGGTTGACTCTGTTCAGTTGGCTAAAAGCAGAGAGGTGTCGCTATTGGAGCTTGATAGTTCCGACAGTCTTGCTGGCCTAGAACAGCTGATGCCTGAATGTGTCTCCTCTGACAGCTCTTTGAGTAGGGAGCACACTTCAGTTACTTCAGTTGCCAATCTTGAAGGAATAAAGGCTTCAGTAAGAGAAGAGACTGAGTGGGCACTTCAAGGTATCAGACTTCTAGAAGCTCTGCTGACAATCTGTCTACACAGTGCAAGCACTATGCAGCAGAAGATGGAAGTAGAGATGTTTCAACAGGTACTGTACAACAACTTCCCCAAACTTACCTTGTATTTGTTACACACAATAGTGTAATTTAACAGTAATATAGTCAAAAGCTCTTTTAGAGATGAAAAAAAGCTTATGCTTTTCATGTATCTGTTGCCGTTGGGGCCAGCATGTTGACCATATGGCTAAAGGCTGAACTCAACAGTTTTCTGCATCAATGTATCTTGAGTCCCAGGGAATACTGTGATCCTGGCAGAAGAAGATTCTGTTTTTCTGCATAAAATGGCCCTGACTAGAGGAAATGGGTGGCTGCTTCTGACTACAAAGGCAGTAGTGAATGTAGACAACTACAAATTGCTGGCTGACTATGCCTGTATTTTTTTCTGATCAGTTATGGCCTGCTTCTTATTTTTTGTTTTGGTTTCTCCCCCCACCCCATATAGCTTTTTGTCCAGCCTCAAGTTTTCCAGAGGCTGTCTGAGCAGATGGGATTTGAATGGTGGGAAAGAGGGTTTTTTTTTGAAAGGGTATTCAGTGGAGAATGTGTGTGACAGAGGTGGGATTGAAGGAGAGCTGCATAGGCAAGACATGAGCGTTATACATAATGACTCACACGTGGTGTTTTTGGTGATGGTTCTGAACAGAGCATGGCACATGAGAAAGAAGAGTATTAGAGGGCACAGATACTGAAAGGACACCTGAAAAAATATTCCTTAAGCCTTGGAGGTGAACTAATTCAGTGTTCTACAAAGCTGTTAATTCACAGAAGACACCTTCACTGTGCTTTAATGTTTTAAGTGCTATCTTGAATTTTACTTGGCAGTTTGTAACAGAAGCAGGAGGCATAAGGTACAGGAGAGAACTGGAAACTGGAATTCTTTCTGGGCCACACTGCTCTTTTTGTGAACCTGGATGTGTCACTCTCTGTTTTGTTAAACTTGAGTACTATTAGTGTTGTCTGAATGAACTGTGTACTTGAAACTGTTGCAGAGATGTTTATTTTTGAAACAGTGTTTTCACTTGCAATGTTTGGGAAACAGCATGTTGCCAGATTTTTTTCAGTGTGCAGATTGCTTAACCAACTAAATTTCTGTTATGACAAACAGGATGAATCTTTCTTATTGCAAGGGACTGGATGAAGTCTGATAGATTTAGCTGAGAAGTCAGATTAGTGTAGGTGGAAGGGGGAGTTGTTAAATGAAACTACTAGACCATTTCTGTTAGCCAAAACATAATAACATGAATCAAAATGTTTATCTCCCCCAAAACCCAGAATACTGGTGTGGATGATATCTTACTTCAAATAAGAGAGCAGCTTTCTCAATCAAAAGTGATAGAAACTGACTTGGCAAAGCCTCTGTTTGATTCACTGCTTCGTGTTGCATTGGGCACTTTTTCTGCTGATCTGGATCATCCTGAAGAAAAAGTTGAAAAGGTATGAACCACCAACTAAGTAGTCTTAATTCTAAATACCACAAGGTTTGCTTGGTCAGGTTTGTGTTGTTCAGATCTATTTTTAAATTAGACAGGACATGTTTAAATGTGTTTGCTTATTGTGGCTGTTGAAGATGGATTCTCTGATTCTCTTATGTAAATGTGTAAGTTGAATGCTGGTTACTGATATGCTCCCCACATTTGCTGCTCAGAAATGAGGCATGCCCCAGAAACGAGCAAGCTGTGTTATGCTTTATGGACATACCTGAAACCTGACATTCTCTTCACTCTTTCATCCACCAACAATGTGACAAACTCTCAAAGGGAGGGCTTCAAACAGGGATGTTGACTGACCTTAGTGGCTGCAGATATATCTTCACCTTAGAGTGAATGTCAGTGTGCATGTTTATGGTGTTAGTGATCTTTGGAAACAGTTGTTCTTATTGCATTGACCACCTGCTTACTGAAGCATTGCTCAAGTAGTTAGTGAGAAAAATCCACTTTGCAGAATCCATTTTCACTGTAAGAATGAAGTATCCATAAGAAGTATCTCAAGCTTCTTGAAAGTGTATGATGAATTTGTTTCTTTTGCCAGTGGGCTTGGAGAAAATAGGCATCTGGAAGGCTTGAAGTTACTTGCTATTCTGACTGAAGACGGTAAATTTGTTTCTGTTATACAGACCCATTATACTGAAAAGGAGCCTGTGTCACAACCTGGAGATATTTCTGAAGAAACTGAAGAATCACAGTGCTGTAGTCTTAAAGTTTTTGCTGAAGAGGAAGGATATGAAGCAGATAGTGAAAGTAACCCCGATGATAGTGAAACCAAGAATGAAGGTAAATGTGAACTTTCTGAATGTACGAAGCAGTCTTTATGATATAGCAACGTTTGCTTGTCTTTTGAGATGCACAAAAACAGGGTGAGCATCAGAGACCTTTAGCAAATAGAAAAAGTTTTAATGTTTTTACTTCCAGGAGGATGCAGTTACAGATGGAGAGATGATGAATATTCTTACTGTTACGGAAACAGTTCTGTCTTGTTTTTTCTTTGTTTATGTGACTATTGCTCGTGTTGCTCAAACGTATTATTGTAGTCTAGAAGTAGTTTTCTCTAGGGATGCTTATCAGTAGTTTGTCTGAAAAATCAATGCTCAATTTTTAATTTAGTTTTATAACAATCTGGTAAAAATTAGTTAGCCTAATTATATCTCTTTATATTCATGGAATCGTAAATTGGCCCAGGTTGGAAGGGACCTTAAAGATCATCTAATTCCAACCCTCCTGCCATGAGCAGGGACACCTTCAACTAGACCAGGTTGCTCAGAGCCTCATTACTTATGCAATGACTGATGTGACATCTCTTTCTGTATTCTGTTTGTGTAATTAATTGTGAACATGAACTTGCTTTAATTTTTTTCCCTTTGTGCCGAGCCATCTGGATGCTTACGTTCTTGTATGAGGTCAGCGTGAGCAGTAAAAGCCTTTAATAGGAGTGCATTCAACTGTTGCTGTTTACCTGTGTGACTAGGCTTTGTCAACAGATGCACAACACTTTAAAAGCATTTCTGAATTAAAAATTTAACCTGGAATGTTTCTGTTAAACACTTGCGTGAAACGTATGTCTGTATCAAATACTTTTTTAAGTAACATGCTTTAAAGTCTGTCCAAGATGTAAAAGAGGCTTAAATATTGGGTTTGCTTTCTTTTTTTTTTTTCTGTTTTTGATTGTCATGGGGATGATGTGTCATATGCTGTTATGTGCATTTTCTGAGTTAAATAACCAAACAACTGTTTCCAACCTTTTAACGTGAAATAAACTAATTTAAATTTATATTTTTGTGTCAGGTTCAGAGTTCTGTATAGAAGCTTCAGGCTCTGTTACAATGATTTTACTGTCATGTTTCAAGAATTGCATATTTCATCATGACTATGTGTGTCCAGTTCCCAGGAAATAGAGGCACATAGTTTGAGAGCATGTAAATAGCAGAAATTGCATCCTTGCCTTCCTGCATTGGCAGGAAAATATGAAAATCTGAATCAGAACATAAGATTATATAAACTTCTGAAAAGTGCTTATAAACTAGTGACTATTGTTTACCTATGAGAAGGCTGGAGAAAGTGTGCCCTTGGATGTTCTGCTTAAATTGTGCAAACTATTCAGCTGAGTAAGTTTCAGTAAGACAAGTGTTTTCTTTCAGGAGCAGACACAAAGGCAGAACCAGGATATACTGGTCCTTCAGGTTATTTTAATGATCTAGCTGAAAACATCAATCAAGGAGAATTAATATATCCTGAAATCTGCATGTTAGAATTAAACTTGCTCTCAGCTGGTAATGCAAGTTTAGATGTGCTTGCTCATGTATTCCGAAGCTGCCTGAAAATCCTCAACCAGAGGGAGGGAAATGCCACTGCACTCATAGAACAGGTAAAAATATTATACAACTGCTAAACTGTTGTCTTTGTTCATCTTATTTTCTTCAGCTTTATAGTACCAATATACCTAATAGTGATCTCAGAAATATTTTCATTTGTTATGGCATTAGATAAGACCTAAAACAATGTAAATGGCTGATATTGCCAGCTGCATTGCATTTAAATTACCAGAAACTATAGTTAACTAATATATTGACAGATATTTGACCTACAAAGCTTTTGAGTTTCATAGTTGCCTTATGTTATCAAGACTGTTCAATTACTAGAGCTATAGATACAGATTTAATGACTGTCAAGCTGTTAGGAAAAAAGCAAATATCTTCTTGTGTGTGTGTATATATATGTACACTTTCTAAATATATACACATTCAATATGCACTTTTAAAAACTTTCAGTGATGTATCTCAAAAATATTTCATGCTTATTCTTAAGTTCATAATAAAAATTAGTTATGCACATGTTGATGTCCTCATGATCCTTTGGAATTTCTGATGGTTAGCTTGTTTTTGCTTTTTCGTAACGAAATTGAGTATGCCTCTTTTGCAAAAGAAGAAAATATAGTTAAGTAATCTAAGCTTAAAGTGCTTGTTTATATAATCATTTGTCTAAGAGCAAAGTTAGTGCTTTGCAGCTTAAAACAAAAGCAGAAAAGGAAAACATTGTTCTATTTCAGTACTACGATAGTGTGAATTACTAGCTTTAAATTACTAGCATACATGTATTTCTTTTTTCTGAACTTCAACACATAAAATTACTTATAATTCAAAATAATATCATTTTCACTACTCTTCAATATTGTTTAGAAAGAGCAATCTATTGAACTAATTGATTGAAATCAATTTAGGGTTTTTTACTATCTTCAATTAAAGGTTTTTCAAATTACCTTTATTTAAGATGCATTTGTGAAGGATGCTTGTAAGTAAGTGGTGCTTTTTAAAAATTTCTCTTTAAAGTAATCTTGCATTAAAAAGTTGGAAATATTGAATTTGCTTTCAGTATTGCTTTGCTATATACCAACATGCTGGATTTCATCACAACCTGTCAAATTACAAACCTGTAATTCTGTTAAGGGGGAGAAGACAAGGGAGATCTCAGCTGCTGAGCTGATAACGGCTCAAAGGTTCTTTCTAGAATCACCTGGATTTCAAAGTCTCTCTTCTGCAACTGAACTGTACAGAACATGAAAGAACTGTCATTAGTAAATATAAAAAAAAAAAATCCATAATTTAAAGTAACTGGAATTGTCTTTAAAATCAATAGCAGACAAGAATTGATTGAAAGAAATTATTTCTTAGTTTTTTGAGCTGGTGTATATTCTTCAGATACCAATTTTCCATGTATGTTTTTTAACAGGGAGCTGTTAAACATCTTTTGGGAGGATTTCTGAACATATTGACACAAACAGAGTCTAGTTTTCATGGTGAGTTCAAGGTCCAAGGAACTTAAATGTTTTTTATAACTTTATGTATACACACTCAAATTTTTAGTTCACAATGCAAATGCAAAATTGAGAAAGCAAAATCATTGGCATGTGTGAATTTATACAGCTGCTTCTTTAACTTGTGACAAGTATTTAACTTATGTGTAAATAAATGATTATTTCTGAGCTAGTGAAAATCTGTTATTTAAACACATGCTGTCAGATCTAAAAATGATAATTGAAATGATAGACCCAGGGTGACTGCATCAGCAAACATTGCTCGGAAAAATAGCGGTTATCTCACTGATTGAATCCAACTCCACCACAACATAGGTTTTTATTTCAAATTCGTTTGTAACGCAGGTCTTAGTGATGTTTTGATTCAGTTTTATTTCTAATTGGAAAACAGCTAGATAATCCAAGAATGTGTAAGCAAATTAAATGCTTGCCCTAAGGTAGCCTCGCATAATGAGATTGTCCCACAGCAGGAGATGATGTAAACCCATCCCAGGACTTTGATCCCTGGCTTTGTGGGGAAAGCCTTTGCAAAGTAGACGCTAGGTTCCCAGACTATCAGGCTCCACTTTGCAAACCTAGGAGCCAGATTTGCTGTAGCCAGTTCTTCTGTGTTCCTTCAATTAAGTTTTGAATGTTAGTGTCAGGAAGTACTGTTGAATGTATCTAGAATTTGTCTTGTACTTGTCCCTGCTTCCTGAATTTGAAATGTTTTTGCAAAACACTCTGAATTCCAAGTTAATCTTTCCTCATAACAGTATGGAGTATATATATATATTTTTAAAGCTTTTAAAAAATAATTTTCAATAATATTATTTTATCTCCTTATTTTTAGCATGTCAGACGGTGCTGGTAGACCTGTTGGTTTCCTTGATGAGTTCACAGACATGTTCAGAAGAGCTATCTCTTCTTCTGAGGATATTTTTGGAGAAGACACCTTGTACGGTGTGTATGGAGTAGCACATAGCAAAATTCAGAGGCTTAACAAGAAAAATGAAGTAAAAAGAAAATCCTTTTGTGTCCAAGTATTTTGGGAAATAAGGAGACTGTAACAGCAACATTCTAACTGACCAGAGCAAATAAAATTTGGTTGTTGAAATAATTAATTCTCAAAACATGAAAAGGAAATAGGAGTGAAAAGAGGGTTTTCAAGTGTGTGTTAGTCCTGGGAACTCTTTTCAGTGCAAGAAAACAAGATTCCTCTTGAGGAGACTGACATTGTGGTTGTGGATGACAGAACACTGTAATACTGTAAAATTTTAAGTAATTCCTTTAAAATGATGAAGCATCTCTCTATTTTAGGAATGCTTTAGCAGTGGGAATTACTTTCAAAACTCTTGAGTTGCTTTGTGTAACACTGGAATATACTGCTTGTGTGATATATACTGCTGAAATAGCTATCTGTTGGTTTGTGTGTGTTGCTGTTTAAAAAAAAAAGTCATTTTTTTCAAAGGTAGCTTGCTATATTTGGTTAAGTAACTAGAGAAATGTTTTGATTTAAGAGTTAGTTCTGTTACTTTGTTATGCAATAAAGTGATGGTCTGTGTGTGCATTCTTAACCAGCCTCAAATGTAGGGTAAAAGGTGTGGTCTTTTGTTGAGGTATAAATTAATCTGTTAGCACATAACAGATGTGAGATAAGATTGTAAAGTGACCACCTGCTGTGGTTCAGCTGATTCCTAAGCATGGCAACTTGAAGACTGATCTGCCCTGACTATGTCGGCAAAACTGGCCATAGTCTGTTGAAGTTGCTACTTGATGCTTTGTAAATGTGTATCAGTGTAGATATGGAATTCCACCTCTGGGGAGAACGTGAATCCAAATTTAAATGAAGAGTGGGGTAATGTTTAGTTAGATGACACTTAACTACATGGAGTAAACAGTTTTGTTTTTTCCCCCCCCCCTTTGTTTGGTTTATTTCTTCTAGGAGATACTACTCAAGGGTGTATTGAAGATTATAGAAACTAATGTTTATATGAACCCATTGCAGTACCTTCCCTTCCCTTTGCTACACAACACAAATTTGAATAGTAGTTCTTCACAAAAATCTACTGGCACTTCCAACAGCAAAACTGCTGGACTATTAAAAAGAGCAAAATTTTCACAGAGTAGGAAAGAGACAGATGGTGAAAACTTGAGTCACCAGCTGCTTTCTTCTTGGCATGTAGCCCCAATTCACTTGCCTTTAGTTGGACAGAACTGTTGGCCACACATGTCTGAAGGCTTTAGTGTCTCACTGTGGCTTCATCTGGAGTGTGCTCATGAAACAGAAAATTCAACAGAAAAAGGGAAAAAAATAAAGAGAAGAAGCAGACTGGTACCTGTAAGAGAGAACAGCTTTGACAACACAGGTGAGGATGTGGTACTTCCTGTTTCTGTTTAGATAGCACTGAAGGGTTTTGGTTGCAACTATAACAGATATGCCATATACAAACACTTGAACGTTTTTCTTACAGTGGATGTGAAATAGGAGTGTTAGTCTTCCTGATTTTTTTCTCTGAGTACTGTTATATACGTAAAATATTTCCACTCTGAGTTCTTAAGTTAGATTAATGCCTGCTTCCTTAGAAATTTGGTGTTCTCACTGAATTTGTAACTTGAGTAAACTGTCTTTATGCTACTTCATGTTATGCTGAAGAAAATACTAAATGCTGCAGCTGAAACATCATGGGAAAAGGCTGCTCTTGAGTTTATTTGATCTCATGCATTGATTAAGCAAATGGCTTTATTGTTCTTTAATAGAGACCTAGTAAGTCTTTATGATTTAGATTTAAATATTGGAACTCTTAGCTAAAAGATGCTCTGAATCCATCAAGTCGGAGCCTGAGGCTGAAGTATAAATCCTCTAACTTTCCTTATGTGTGTGAGCCATTGTAAATGTCAATAGCTGTAGAACCTTCCTCCATTTATACTTTTCATAGAACCATACAATTGCTTAGTTGGAAAAGACCTCTGAGAACATTGAGTAGAGACTCACCTGCTTCCAGACTCTCTTTTGAGCAGAATCTTTGGGATTATAATTTGTAGGAGGAAAAAATTCCTTAAGTTATTTAAAATGCCGCCCAATCACTACACTTGGAACACCTTTTACTGTACTTTATCTTTTTTACTGTATTTGAACAAAAGCACTAGAGCTGCTTTTGGTAGAGAGTCTGTGCTTTTGCTTGGTAAAGTAAAGTTGAAAGCTTCATTGAATTAGAATGTATTAATGCTTGATGGCTTTATGTGATTGCAAACAAAAACATATGAAGTGCTGAGTTAATGTCAAGCTCCTCTGTTTCAGTATATGAGACCTTGGTCTCTGAAGAGAGTCTCACACATATTAACCAAAAAAACCCTCCAAATAAAAGAAAAATTCTCTGCAGTACTTCAACTATTTTTTTTCACACTTGATAGCTGGTAGGACAGGCATTGCTGCATTGTATTGTAATAATGTACAAATGTGTTTATGTTTCTAGAAGAAACGAAGTCTATAGGAATGGAGTACCTAAGCCTGGGAGATAAACTTGTTGAAGATGGGTGTATTCATATAATTTCACTGGGTTCCAAAGCACTGATGATACAAGTCTGGGCAGACTTGAACACTGGAGCATTCATATTTCGGTATGGTGTATTAGTCCACAAGCAGTCTTGTGAACGTATATATTTTTACTTCCAGTAGCAGCTTGCAGAGAATACTGGTGGAGAGTCGTGAACTAGTTTCTATAGTAGAGTCATCTTGCACGCTGATGGCAGCATCAAGCAAGCTTATTGCATTATAGTTTTACACGATTACTTGCTTAAAATGTTAGTCTCTGGTCTTGCATGTTTCCTGTAGTCATATATAAATAACTGTCCAAAGTAAGAAGCAAGATAATAAACATAATACAGTGCAAGGTAGCAATTCAAGAATTAATGAAATGACACAATAAATGTGTGAAGATAAGCAAAAGCTTTTGTAGCTGTAGGTTTTCACACCCTAGGTGTGAAAACTGCTGTTATTTAATACTTACCACAGCAATCTTGTTTTTAATCTTTTGAACACATTTTAGCCCTAATTTAGTTCTCATAAGTAATGTATCTTTAAAATTAATCTAAATCTGCAATTTTAGAACACTATTTCACAACATTCAAAGCACCCGTGTTTTTTCAAGAAACTGAATTTAACTTCTCTGTAAAATAGCGATAGTATCTTTATCTTAATTGTAAGCAGGTTCCTGAAAACAAGTTAAATAACTAAGATGAAACTGGAATGTGATAATTTCCCTAGCTTATGTTGAGCACTCTAAATATAGCATTGTGATTTTAATTAAAAAAAAAAAAAAGGAATGCAATCTCAAAGTAACTGAGGGGCTTAAAATGCAACTTGTTAAACAAACACACACACTTGTTTTTCTGTTGTTTTCATAGTATGTGCATGGATCCAAATGATGAGATGAGAGCTGGTCTTCTGGCACAGGCTGAATCTCCAGAGAATGTTTTTCTTGTGGGCAGGTGGCAGCATTTGGCAATAACTTACCTGCAGCAGCCAGAAGGCAAGAAAAATATCCATGGAAAGCTGTTGCTGTGGGTTTCTGGTCAGAGGTACAGTATATATTAGATGCACTTAGGTGCTTCTCTTAAAAAGATGCTCTCTGGTAGGAAAATATCTGCACTGTTTTGGCACAAGCTGAAGTTATGGTTGAGTAGTCTCCTGGGAGTAAGAGAGGGGTGTCTTACACTGCTAGGAGTTCTCTAGAAATATCCAGAGTGGTCTTGATTGCTTTGAGAATCCTCAGTTCATACTGTGGACCAATGTAGACATCAATGTTTTTTCTTCATCATGAATAAGTGAAGGAGGTGAAGATCTTGAATAAGATCTAAAAAAGGCTATGGCATGAAGTTAACAGAGGGCATAATGTCTCTGGTTAAGAATCTGAATTAAGGAGGTGTAGTTCAGGTCCTGGCAAAATTGTTAAAAGCAAGAATGAAGAGCAGATGGAGAGAAGGCAGTTGATTCACTCCACAGAGCAAAATGGAGAGGGGAGAAGTTAAAAAAAAAAATAAAAATTCAGACAAGATCTAAACTGGCAGTGGGAAGTTCTGCTTCTTCCACTGAAAACTTAAGATCTATGCTTCTGAATGAGGTACCTGATGCTAGGTTGGGTGGGCCTGCACCTGCATGAAATACTCATTGGTTAGGGAAAAAGGCATTTATTAAATATCAGTTTTTATCCCTTCTTCCTAAAGTCCAGACTAGAAGACTTCCTTTATCACAAATGTGAAGCAGGTGGTCAAAATGTTATGTTGTAAAACAATTAGATTTATCACAAGAATTCTTTACTATTCTTCTAGAATTTGGACAGTAAACAAGCAATGTTATCAAAGATATTCTTAAAACTACACCTAGGGGGAAAAAAGCTATTGCACAGTTCTTCCTGCAATTAAACTTGGAATTGTAAAGTATAATACTTGTTTCACTTTGTTCTTGAAACTACATGGAGGTAACTCTTAAGCAACTTCATTTCCTGCCCCTCCCCATTGTTTAGTCTATGCATGCTGCTATTCAATATCCAAATATGGATATAGGGGAAACTAAAAATACTACAATGTTCTGCACACGTGCAGTTAATGAGGCCCCTCTATATATAAAGTTGTCAATTTGCTAATAGCTGGGCTCTTCCAGGAAGATTCAGATGACCTTTCCAGTCCAATTGGTCTGCTTATATAAATGCACATAAGGTTAATTGGATGCTTTCTGAAAGCATCAGGCTTATTGCCCATGGCTGTACAGCACACTAGCTCTGACAACGTTCCCTTGTATAAGTAAATCCTCAACATGATATTTTCCAGCATGTGTGAACCACAATTTTTATTATGTGCATTAGCATATTCAAAGGCCTTTGACTTTTTAGGAATAGCCGAAATTTTTGAACAATGGTATTTTAGAAGTATATATAGTGTTACATACAGTTTCTTTTCTGAGTTCAGAGGGAAGGAAGAAGGAATTTCAGATCTAGGAAATTTTGACTGTATGACAATCCTAGTTGGAACTCTTTTCCTATGTTCTGTGCAATATTTGAATGCATACATTATTAACTGAGTTTTAAGGTGCCTAGAAGCTGAAGATGGCTTTAGTAATTTAATGTTGATAACAGCGTGGCTTCTCATCTACTAAATACTAAAATCTATTTTAAGCCTAAACTGAATACCCTAGAGAGGAATTTTGATCACTTCTTAATATTGAACTTAATATTTAAACTTGTTTCTTTATATATATATTTTAGGAAATGTGAGATTAATTTAGATTATGCACTGCCAAGGAAATCAAGCTTATCGTCTGACAGTAATAAAACATTCTGTATGATTGGCCATTGTACATCGTCTCAAGAAGAATTACTTCGATTGTCGGGTAGATGGGATCTTGGAAATCTGCTTCTATTTAATGGTACTTTTGTATGCTTTTTTTTCTTGAATAAGTCTTAAATTCCTCTTCTCCCTCCAAGATCAGAGGTTTAATTTTATAATTTTTTTTAACATGCCAAGCTTTTACAGTAAAAGAAACAAAACATTCTTTACTAGCATAATATATCAAGGAGAAAGTAGGCAAATGTTTCAGTATTGGGTACTTCATAATGCGTCCTTCTGCCACTATTCTCTTGCTTTCTTTTTAGCACTGTAATTGGCAATTCCAATTACTTTCTTTAAATAATACCTTGGGGTAGGGAATGGAGAGATGGTGGTGCTTGCTCTGTTTTGTTTTGTTTTCTTAAAGCACTCAGTCTTTACCAGCTAGAAAATTGATTTCACTTACCTCCTCCTGAACTACTAGTTTGGAATTGCTTAAAGCATTTTAAAAAGTAAACAAAATCTGAATTACCAAATACTGAGTTAAGCATGCTTATTTCAGAAACTACTGAAGTTACTTTGGGGGTTTTCTTAGATGTATAGTTCTCCTTCATCCTTAGAAATTTTTATCCAGGACTTCTAGGTGTTTGCTGAAGGCTGGAACCAGCCCATCGTCATCTGGCATTTTATGTGCAGTGGCCTGGTCAGGACTACTGTGCAAGTGAAATTAGTTTGCCAGGGTATGTGGTGCCTGCAGGTGTTGTGTGTGTAGATACAGTGTATTTGTGCAGGCGATAGGTGAGATGCTTGTCATAAATATGAGCTCCACCTGGTGAATCTACATGGTCTGATTGTCCTGTGCCTGCAGCCACCGTTATGGTGTATCCAGAGAGCAATAGATCTACTGCTGTACAGTTGCCATGCAGCCATACATCACACTTGCATCCTTCTGGATGCTTCTTTCGAGTTTGCGTTCTCACAAACAGATGACCTGAGATGTGCTGTCTGGAAAAGGGAGGGAGGTTTATTGGGCCTTCTACTTCCTATATTTCTTTATTTCTTTTTCCTCCCTGTTAGTTGTAGTGAGCTTTTATTGTTGTTGTGTCCTCTCCATCACTCTACCGTGCTGTTGTAGCATGTTGTTGCTATCTGTAATCTTTGAGGAGGCTTGGATAGATGACTCTTCAGTTTTAAGAAGTGTAACTTGTTTTTCAGAGCTGTTGGTCTTCAGCTCATGCAGATAATTTTCCTGACTTGGCTTCATTTGCCTTTGCTACTGAATTGATCTGGCCTGTGATGTGTCAGAAGTCACTGCCCTACAGTAGCTAGTAGGAAGCATTGGACTGTACTGATTGTTTCTCATCAGCAGGGCCTATGAAAACCAGCCAGTGATCTTCCTTGCAGTGTCTCTGATGCAGTCTACTAGCCAATGTATGAATTTTGCTTTATTTTGTACTAAAGAGTTAACAGCTCCTTTTCTGGATTTTAGGTGCAAAGATTGGACCAGAGGAAGCGTTTTACTTATACACATGTGGGCCGGACTTCATATCTGTAATGCCTTGTAAATATGGCAAAACATCAACTGATTTCTCTAAGTACATAAGTAAAGAGATTCTACAATGTGAACAAATTAAGGAACTCTTCATGACAAAAAAGGAAGTGGATGTCGGGCCTTTAATCGTAAGTTTCTACTTAAAACCAGTTCTTAATCTCTTAGAACTGATTAACAATCTGGGAAACACATTTCCTGCGGTCTCCCAAAGTGCTTCACTTTCTCAAAGCAGGCAGGAGCAAATCCAATTCTCATTAAAATCACTGCAGGGTTCTTCCCACTTACTTCAAGAGGAGCTGGACTCTGCACAGGGTGGCCATTTCATCTTTCTTTAGGTTGGATTCTGACAACTTCTAGATGTCCCAGCATCTATAATACTGCATATTTAATATATCAGATAAGCAGGCACCTCCAAATGCCCTAGGATGAATACATAACTCTTCTTTCCATTAGGGTTAAGGTAGCCAAGGACAGCTTAGTTGACCTTTTAACATTAAAACTGAGAGGAAGGAGAGAGGAGCATTTATCTGGCTTTAACAGGAAGCAAAAGACATCATCCCAGTTCTTTGAGAGTTTTGAGAGGGAGTAAGTTTGCATCAAGTTTGGCTTAAAAGTAATTTTCCAAGAGGCAGATCTTAGCTTTTTTTCTCATCTTTCCTGACTGAAACAGCCGTGCCAGATGCAGGTGTAAATATAGTTACACTAGAAAAAGAGTAAAATAACTTTTTTATCAGTGGAGCCCACTCTATCTGGGGCATTGTCTTCATGCACTGATATGTTCTGCTGTATGAATTGTTTCCACTAGAGGGATTTTTCTGATCTTCTACAGCAGCTCTGTAGCTGTAGGCAAAGGGTCATTCTGTCTGGATGTGGTCCTTGTAAACAACTGTACAACACTTAAGAAGGAATGAATGGAATAAGTAAAAAGCCTAACAAATCAGTCATGCAACTTTTAAGCTTATTTTGCCTTAGAAAACACCAAGTAACTGGAGAGAAGAACTGTGGGCTTAGGCAATGAATTAATCTCTGCACTTTTGCATAGAATGCAAGTGCCTTAAATGTAGTTATTTTAAATCACCTCCCAAATATGATCCTTTTACATTTTTCTGTGAAAATGAGTCGGTTCCTTTCCATAGGAGCTTTGGTTTTGGTCTAAATCTCTTCATCAGTAATGAAACTTCTTCTATTGAGATCCTCTTAAAGCAAAGCTGATTAAAGGATAGACTTAAAACAAAATCGGAGAAATTTTTTTTTGGGGAAAAAAAAAGGCAGATAACCTTCTATTTTGGACTCGCTGCTTTAGAAAGTGAAACAATTTGCCCAATATCTCTATGCTCATTTTCTTTTCAATTTGTCAGTAACTTTGTTTTTATGCAAAGTAGTTGTAATTCTTCAGGTGATAAGAGGGGGATCTTTGTTGGAATTTTTTAGTGCTTCCTTAACTTTCTGTGCTGTAGCTATTGCATACATTTGCTAAAACTTAGGAATCTTGTTGCATTTTAGTGCACGTGCATCCACATGAAACTTTGGAGCATAGAGTAAAGTAGAAATGAACTACCCAGGTTGCTGCTACTGGCTGTTAGGTGGCTTTTGTGTGTGGCTTTTTGATTGTGGTTTGGTTTTTTTAATTAAACTTTCTTGAAAAAACTTACAAAGTTCTCTTGTTTCAGGAAAGTCTTGCTGTTGTGTACACCACATGCTGCCCTGGTCAGTACACCATATATGAACCTGTTATTAGATTGAAAGGTCAAGTGAAAACTGTACCTTCTCAGAGACCTTTCAGTTCAAAAGAAGTTCAGAGCAATGTATTGGACTCACATCACCTGAAAACACTTCAGCCTGTTGAATATAAAACTCTTCAGGGTATACTACATGAAATAGGAGGAACTGGTGCATTTGTTTTCCTCTTTGCTAGGGTAAGGGGACTGGAGAAGAGAAGTGCATATATGTGTTCTCCCATATAAAATTTTCCTTCGATCTTGGGTAGCAAATCACATATTCTAGCTGCCTTATATTAATTTAAAAATTTGTGTATGTCTCCTTATTTTCTTAAAGAAAACTTGTGGAAAATATCTGTGACATAACACAGACTGCATCATTCAGGTTGTAATTAAATTTGAAACATAATTGTAATTCTACTATATAATTTTTTAATAATATTGCTAGCATGTAAGATGTGTTACATTCTGTTTTAGAGATAAGACTTCTAAATGTTTCTTGTCTAAACTGTTTTATTAAATTTGCCTTTTCTTCAGGTTGTAGAGATTAGCAGCTGTGAAGACACTCAAGCTTTAGCACTACAACTTATACTATCTTTAACAAAATACAATCAGCAGAGAATACAGGAGATGGACAATTGTAATGGTTATTCTATGATTCATCGAGTGTTGATCAAACCAAAGTGCATTGTTGGATTTTGCATGCTGAAGGTAGAGTGCTCTTTAAACCTGATATTTTATTCAGTGTTAGCACAAATTTAGAAACTTGTCTGTGATTTTTAATTCTACGTTTGAAGCTGTCTTCACAAAGGGAGGATAGTGATTTGGAGCAAGTTTGGTCTAGGAGTGTTTTTCCTTGAACTATAAACTCCTGATAGGTAAGGGGAGAAAAAGGAACTGTTCAAAGACCCTGATTTCAGAGGAGATGGAGGGTGGGGGGAAGCAACTTTGTTTCTCTGAGAGCAAAGATCTTCAAGTAAGCTTAAACTTGTAAGCAATTAATAAAAATATTTGAGTGCACTTGAAAATAATTTAAAAAAATGTTTGTACTGCTATTATAAGAATGAAGCCTCTTAAATACCTCCAGTAGAGTTACTAAACTCAGTAACTATTTTCAGAGTTGACCAGATAGATACATGCCTTACCTATCAAGAGTTTGTCTCTTTAAATTTTTATTTTTTTATAAATTGGATAGGACTGTACTGCTTTGTGCTTATGACTTTCAAAAAAAAAAAATAATGTCTCCCTCTTTAAGACCCTCCTTGAAGGATGCTGCAGTGATGAGATTCTCTATATAAATGAAAACGGGCAATTCATGCTTGACACAAATTCTACTGCAGTGATCCAAGATGTTCAATTGTTAGAAAAGCTGCTGCTTGACTGGAAGATATGGGCTAAAGCAAAGGTAATTCCATTCATTTTGGAAAGATTTAAAGTCTAAAAATCAGTATTTAAAAGAAAAAGTGATAAAGTATTATGAGGTCTGAAATTAATATCTCCAGTTAGATGTCAGTAATTACTGAAACTTTCTAAAATTAATAGTCCTTACTTTAATTTGAATAGCTAGTAGTAGCATTAAGCTCCCATTATCAAAGATGCAGGTAGCTTTAGTGTATTAAATTCTGTAATTGTAATGTATGTAAATTACTTGCTAGTTGAATGGATTATTTTTTTAGGGAAACTTGTTAAGACTGAGGAATACCTTCTGCTTTTCTCTAGAGTTAAACTGTTGAAAATAACTGTCCATTGTCCATATAGCAAATTGTATACAAAACTAGTCTAAAATTAGAAGTAATTTTTTTGTGACTTAATCACTAAAACATGCTTAACTTTGTATGAGAATAACCTTTTTTGATAGTTACTAGTTCTGACCTGACCCAATGTTTTTCTTAGGTGCAAAACTAACTTGAATTGGTTATGTTCCTAAACTCTCTGGGGTTTTTTATTCTCAGTGTAGACTCAGAAATACTTTTTTGAAGCCATGTTCATATTTTGTTTTGTTTTTCAGCAAGGTGTTTGGGAAACTCTGTTAGCAGCTCTAGAAATCCTTATCAGAGCTAACCATCACCAACAGATGTTTAACATTAAACAGCTATTGAAAGCTCAAGTGGTCCATCACTTCCTGTTAACATGTCAAGTTCTGCAGGTACTTTCACTCTGAAATCCTACCTTGTGCTTGGCAAAAAATCAGTTTTACTTGGGGGTGGGATGGGCAGGGGAAGAGACTAACTGCTATAGGGGAAAAAACCTACTTCAGTACACTCTGTCCTTTGTGCTTCGAGATCCCTTTCATCTTCTTCAACAGGCATTGCTGCTGTAAACTGAGACAGTTCCCTACTGGGTGTTCTACTTGCTGCTGGACAGAAGGGACAAGAGACTTCAACATCTAGTACTACTTGAAAACCTAGGCACTAGATTACTTGCACAATCCATACATGAGTAGGAGCTGAAATGAACTGTGACTCTTTTATAAAGACCTGAGATGTCTCTTACTAGTTCAGGTGTTCATTATTGAAAAACGTAGGAACTGTGCAAGTTGTAGAAACTGTCTATCCTGTATCTCACCAGAGCTCATAGGGTAACTGGCCTGTAGTGTGCAGTCTGAGCAGTCCTCTCAAAATTTTGATCCAGTAGTAGCTTCCTCCATGGCATGGAGATAGCTATTCTAAAAACACTTTGGGCAAGTGCTTCAGCCCTTTGATAGATGCTGGAGGGACAGGATGCCATCCAGAAGGACCTTGACAGGCTTGAGAGGTGGGCCTGTGCTAACTTCATGAAGTTCAACAAGGCCAAATGCAAGGTCCTGCACCTGGGTCGGGGCAACCCCAGGTATAAATACAGGCTGGACAATGAGTGGCTTGAGACCAGCTCTGAAGAGAAGGACTTGGGAGTGATGCTAGACAAGAAGCTCAACATGAGCCGGCAATGTGCACTTGCAGCCCAGAAGGCCAATAACCGTATCCTGGGCTGCATCAAGAGAAGTGTGGCCAGCAGGTCGAGGGAGGTGATTCTCCCCCTCTACTCCACTCTTGTGAGGCCCCACCTGGAGTACTGTGTCCAGTTCCACAAGGATGATCAGAGGGTGGGAGCACCTCTCCTATGAGGACAGGCTGAAAGAGTTGGGGCTGTTCAGCCTGGAGAAGAGAAGGCTCTGGGGAGATCTTACAGCGGCCTTCCAGTACCTGAAGGGGCTACAAGAAGGCTGGGGAAGGACTTTTCATAAGGGCAACTAATGACAAAACAAGGGGAAATGGCTTTAAACTGAAAGAGGGCAGGTTTAGATTAGATATTAGGAAGAAATTATTTCCTGTGAGGGTGGTGAGACACTGGAACAACTTGCCCAGAGAAGTTGTGGGTGCCCTGTCCCTGGAAGGGTTCAAGGCCAGGTTGGATGAGGCTTTGAGCAACTGGATCTAGTGGAAGGTGTCCCTGCCATGGCAGGGGGGGTGGAAGTAGATGATTTTTAAGGTCCCTTCCAACCCAAACCATTCTATGATTCTATGCTTCTTAAGAACATGATTTTGAAATGGTTTCCTGCTTATAGTACGTATCTGTATACAGAATGTTGCATATTATTTGCTTTGTCTTTTGCACATGAGTACAAACACTGATATACATGCCTACTGGGGAAAAAATAACTTCTTCATTTAAAAAATGATTCAAATTGACCAACAATGATTTGGCAATCTTTTGGGAATGATGGAATGGGAGATAAAACTATATAAGCCATTCTCTTTGAAAACCTAACTTAAATTAACTTAATTTAGTCTTTTCATGCAGCAGTCTCAGTTAAGGTGATTGGGTACCAAAAAAACAGGTGAAATTCAGCAGAGTTGGACACAGGTTAACCACTGGAAACCACAGATTTTCCACAAACTTCTTGAAGTCCTGTTCTAAAATTATTGTTCAGTTAATAGGGTTTTTTCAAATAGCCATTGTCAAACTATATAGAATGCTTAATCAAGCTATAAATATAAATATCAATGAAATCTTAAATGTGTATGTTTAGAAAAATGGCCATTGAAGAGGAAATACAGAAGACCCAATGTGGCACTGTTCAGAAAGTTCTTAACATGTTTGAAATGCATTAACATTTTAATTTCTCTACAAATATGTAATACAATGACAGTAAGCTACACTTTTAATAATGATTCATGCCCTAAGGCTCCAGCATTTCAAGTCAGAGTAGTATAGGATGCAGAAGATGTTAATTTTATAAAAATAAAATCATGTAACTGCAGTATTTTTGTGCTTGAATTTTGAGTGTGCTGGACTTGAGTAACATTGAGTAGGTACAGTAGCTCCTCTCAAATGAAAGAATACAAACTTTATTACTTAAGCTTTTCTTCTTGTCTGGTCTACTACAGCATGACAATTTAACAACAACAACAAAAAAAGACAACTTCTGTCAAATTAAAAATACAACTAACTTAAAGGTGTACTGCTCTTCCCTTCTAGGAGCATAAAGAAGGACACCTTGCATCCCTACCTCGGGAGGTCTGTAGGTCATTTGTGAAAATAATTGAAGAAGTACTTGGATCTCCCCCAGACCTGGAATTGCTGACACTGGTCTTCAATTTCCTCTTAGCCGTTCACCCTCCCACTAATACATACGTCTGTCACAATCCTACCAACTTCTACTTTTCCCTGCACATAGGTAGATATGTCACATTTAACTAGAAATAAACAAGATAAAAATCTAGTCATAAGTTAATATCTTAAAAAAACCTCTTTCAGTGTCATAAATTACTATTCTATGAATATAATTTTTGATATATTGTTATAACTATATATAAAAAATTATTGAACTATTGGGACTTAGTAAAGTAAAACTAGTTTACAGTATTGAGAGACATTATAGTTAAACTTTGTTTGCTTGGCTTATTTGGAGACCTTTCTTCTGTCTCCAGCCATAGATAATCTCTGTGGTGGCTATGTCTTTAACTTTCTTTAAAGTTTGCTAAATGGAATGCATAATATTACCTGCTTGTATGGACACACTTGCCTGTGGGCAAATCTTAGAGAGAAATGTCTAACTTACCTGTAAATTAAGCTTCTTCAGAAATGTGTCTGTAGTCCTGTCTTCATCTCTACTTTCCTGTTTCCTGAATTCCTAGAAAAATAAAAGGTCTGAGAAGCATTTGTAGCAAATCATCAGTTGCACTGGCAAGCATCATCAGTGCATTACATACAAGTTACTGAAAGTACCTATGTGCTTTGAGGGGTGCAGATCTAGGGTAACAGCCGTCTTTAATATAGCTGTCCTAGATGATTGCTTTGGCAAAATGAGTGCTCTGAGCTTCTGAAATTCTTTCTTGCTATTTTAAAAAATGAGAAAATGGTAAAATTTCATGTTTTAATACTAGCATTGTACAACCTTAGCTGTAACTTATGTAAACATGGAAAGCATCATCCAAGTTCAAGATGTTTTCTCATTTTGCAGATGCCTGTGTACTTCCATTTTTGGTAATCAGTTTCAAAGGCAGTACAGTTGGTTTTATCTGTATCTGTCCTCTAATACTAATAGATGTAAAACTCTTAAGTAAGAGTAGAACGCACTTTTTGATACTTTGAGCCTTATTAGATGAACCTATTTGAGAACAGTCACCCGTTTTTGGCATGGTAAAAATTCAAAGTTACTACTGGTTGTATGCCTGCAAGGACCATCTTCAAATATAATTACTTTAGAACAGCATAATACTTTCAGTGTTCTGAAGTAAATTTTAAAGAGATACCACTGAAACAAAAAATCGTTCTCAAGTGCTCTTTCTCAGATGCTCATGAGTCGGGCATTTCTGATCAGCCTCCAGTGATCAGTTTGCAATGTAAACTGGCTACTATGAGTTTAAATACATCAAGAATGCAAACTTAAAAAGCTTTTATGTAACTTTTCCCCTTATCTTTTCTTTCTAGATGGCAAAATATTTCAAGAGAAAGTCGAATCGCTTATGTATCTGAGAAATTCCAGTAGTGGTGGAAAGTCAGCAGAGAGTTCTGCATTTGTCATTACAACTCCAACTGGATTTACAGCTTTACCACTCGGAGGTAAAACAGTGCTGGAAAAACATAAGGACATTAAGACACATTAAGGACATTAAGTCCTTTAGCAGATGACTAGAGTGACTTGAAGTGTTACTTTCCACAGATATTTCTTACAAAGCTCCACCTCAGAGCTTGATGCCTGAACAGCAGAGTAAGAAGGATGGAATTCAATGTGCTACCTAAAATGCTCTTCATTCTCAAGTTGAGACAAACTGCCATATTGATGGTTCAGGCAGGGGAACAGACCAGATAGATGAACAATTTAATTTGTTAAACAACTACTACAGGTGTATGAGAATGCCAAAACCAGGCAGTAGTTAAAATAGTGAGCCATAAGCAGCTATCCTATTTGTGCAAAAAGTGTTAAGCTGATACTTTCCCTTATTTGTGCATAGTTATTAACAGCCATCTAAACATAGTATTAATTTAGTATTGGCATTTAGTTATACTGCAGGTATATTTACTGTTCCTACGTGATGGAGGATGGGAAACTGTCTTATAAAAAATGACTTAGAAATCTTGTTTATATAAATTTAAATAGAATAGTTTTCTAGAAATGATCTCATTACATAGCATGATAAACAAGTTGAGGTCTATAAAGATAACTGCTTTAATTAGTGTTTAATTCCTCTGCTATAGATGCTGAAATAGTGTAAAATTATTAGTTCAAGCTAGTAACTTTTCAGTTGGCATGCTGTCAGTGTGATGTTTTTTGCATCACTATTGAATTAGATTTTTAAACTTTTTACACAGATTTGCATAGGCAATTAACAAATATCACCTGTAAACCAAAAGCTAAAACACAGAACTTAAGCCTAAGCTTTTAGTTAAGCTCAATGACAATGAGAAATAAATTCTAAATAAAAATGCATCATCTAAGCAAGCTTACCAATAGGAAATGGAAACAAATCATTCTGATTTCTAACTTAGCTGCTGTGTATTTTGGATCATGTATGACTTAGCTGTCTTCTGTGTATCACCTTTTATGATTGGTGTCTCATTGCTACTTTGCTCAGGAGAAGTAAATTGAGTTTTCAAACACTACTTCAGTTGAAACAGTGTTAGTTCAGGTGTCTTTTACTAAAAGCAGTGATATGAAGAGCAGACTACAGTACTAAATTATGTATGGAATTACTCATTTTCCTAAATGGATTATATATGAAATCTTACTCTTCTAAACAGGGTACTTTTTAATATCAATGGTACCAAACTATTGTTCTTGAATAAAGATTATTCATATGTGCCAGAGGAATACTCAACATAAATTTTTGTAAAAGCAGTTGTTTGGGTGTTATGATTCTGAATTTTAATTTCTAAATTTAGATAAAATATTTGAAGTTATGTTTTTGTTAGATAACTTGCTACCTGCATATGGGTTTGCAGTTGGTTGTACTACCTGCTAATGTGTGTGCAAGCTTGGCTGTAAGATTGTTACAGCTGCATAGATCCTTCCTGTTGTCTGAAGGCCAGCTTGGTCTGGCTATGTTTGCATGTGTGTGTATGTGTGTGTTTTTTGTATTTGTTTTATATACGTCTCAGTTAAAAAAAACCAAACACTCCTGATGCATCGTTATTGCATTAGTACTAACTGGTGCATAGTTTTCAAAATACTTCTGAATGAACGAAGTCTCCTTTTCCTAGACTGACAGAAAGCTTTCCCTCTTAAAAATACATTTTATGAAAGACAGCTGTAATGTGCTGTGAAAGTCTTGACTGTTTCAGATCAAAATGTGTGCTTAAAAGGAAGCCATATGAAATAAAATGTGCAGTAATTTGTTATAAATCCGAAGTACTTGTAAAGCCTTAGTGCAAAAGGGTTGGTGAATAGTATTTCAATGTCCACTGAAACATGTTGGTAGATTGGACCTCTGACATTAATGCTCCAAATGGAGCAACCTGCTCTGTTTGACCCTGCTTTGAGCAAGGAGGTTGGGCTAGACAATCTCCAGAAGTTCCTCCCACCCTTTATGATGCTATACAAATTGCTGCTGAGGGTTAGTTGAGAGGTTCATAATGTAAATACAGAAACTCCAGTATATATGCAAAAAATATTTTGGATTTTATGTATTTTTCAGATTTATTTGTGACTTGCTAAATATATGGCTGCATAATAGTTTACTATCTCTACTTGATCAACCAATCTAAGCTGTGCCAGGTGTTGGATCAGTTTTGCCACATAAAATTAGCTTGGGCCATCACTGTGTTAAATGTATGTGGAGTGTAACACTGAGGGAAAAGCTTGTTTCTAGTGCTAAAAGGAATGATAAAGATGCCCTTATTTCTCTAGGGAACACTTCCAAGGCTAGTGTACAGCAGAAGACAAGCTCTCAGGCACCTAAAAGGCTTTGCAAAAGTTTACCAGCATCTCCTACTTCCTCACCTCAAATTCATCGAAAAAGACTGACTGAAAGAATGGGAAGGAGCATTGATGACCTGCAGATTATTGGCAAGTGTGACTACATTGATCTCCAGGGTAAAATTGATTTTGTAGAAAGTTCTGAAACCGTAAAGAGGGTACAGGAAGACCTCTTTCTTAGCAGCTGTGAGTCTGCAAAAACAGTTTGTGACTCAGAGTTAACATCTGCCGAAACATTTGAAGATATTGCAAAAGAAGAGTTAACTGAAAATGCATTTGAGAGTAAAGAAGCAGATGCAGACCTGAAATGTAATGAAGGTGTTGCTGCAGCTGAGCCATGGCTGTGTCGTCCAGACAATCTGAAAGGACTGCCCTCTTTTCAGAAGAGTCAAAGTAATTTTGCAGGGTTGGGCTTAGCGTTTTCTGTTCATGGAGGATCATCAGCCATTGCACGCTGGCCAAGCTTTGCTGACAAGACTGTACTTCCTGAAGACTGGGAGAGTCTTGCTTTTTCTTCAGCTAATGGGAGTACCCAAAAAACATCTGAAAGTCCTGATGAGAGGTAAGCAGATAAACAAAATAATAAATTAGCAGTAGCTCAGTATATGAGCTTTATTTGCACAGTTCTTGGTCTTGGTTACTATTCTACAAAAATTGGAAGCCTGAAAACTAAGGAAATGTTTTCAATGGCTGTCATAAACCAATTTGTTAAGCTTTTAGTCTATAGAACTGTGTTATTTATGTAGCAAAATTCCTGATTTTTAAAGTTTGCCATCTCCAAGTTCACAAAAAAATCTCAAGCAAGTAGTTCTGTTCAGATCATGCTTTTTGCTGTCTGCCATCCAGAAATAAGTGTTAATGAAGAGCAGTAATAGGAGTACCCGATTTTCTCCTCCTCTCTGCCCAAGAGCAGCTAGCAGTTACACATTTTTTTTAATGTTTCCTGTTGTAGACAATAAACTGTGGTAAAACGTATTCCTCTGGTTTCAGATGTACAGAAGACTATCTTGTGCTTATCTGTTGTGGATTATATGACCTCTTGCGTGGAGTTCTCCTAATCCTACCAGATATCATGCTGGAAGATGTGATGGATAAACTTATCCAACCTGATTATCTTATAGTACTTGTGAACCATCCGTCTCCTCTCATACAACAAGGAGTCATTAAAGTAGGCCTATATAAACTGTGTTCAGCTAAAAAGTTGTGAACTAGCTTAGCTAACATGTTGGAAACATAAAGTTTTGTTAATATTTTATTTTGCTTTCTTTTTTCTAGTTTTCTAGGTTTACTTCTGAATTTAAGATGTTTCCACCCCTACAGACTTAAAAAACAAACAACACAAACATAGCATCTTTCAATCGATAAATATAGTCTGTGATCTAAGGCAGAGGGCTTAGGAGCATATGACAGCATTACCAATGCAAATGGAAGCAACAATGCAGAAAAAGGTGGTGTCTGTCTCTTGAACATGAAACACAGATGCACTATGTTAAAGTAAGGTGCAAGCAGAGCTTTAACTTGTGACATGGTTGACTTTCAGTTATTCTGGAGAGTCATACACATGGACCTGAGGCTTCAAAATATTTTTCAGAGATTTTTGTAGTATTGACAAGGAAAATGTTCCTGGATGATAACATTATGTAGATTTAAAACTTCAAGCAGATTTGTATTTTAATTTGAAGAATAAGATTGTATGGCCTTACTCACAAAATGATCCAAAAAATCATGCATGCACTTGCAAACACACCAAAGGGACGGATTTAAAAATTATAAAAAGTTTGAATATATTTATGTGTGCATTCTGTAACTGTTGTGTGTGATATAATCTCTTCCAAACTTGACTAAAAGCCTGAGTCTTCAGATTAAAAGAATAAAGTCAGCTGTCGGTTTTAATAAGGATAGTGTAGACTGGCAGTTGCAATAGTGCAGCTGTTTTTAATCTGTAATTATAAAAAAAATTAGTTCAAACTGTTCAAATCAGACAAGAACTTAACTTTCTAGGAATTTACATTAAATGTTTAAATCTTACATCATAATTATGCATTTATTTTTAGTTGTTGGATGCATATTTCAACAGAGCAAGGAGGGAGCAGAAGGAGAAATTCTTAAAGAATCGTGGCTTCTCCTTGCTAGCTAACCAGCTGTACCTTCACCAGGGGACTCAGGAAGTTGTAGAGTGCTTTTTGGAAATGCTCTTTGGCCGCTCTGTTGGCTTGGATGAAGAGTAAGTAATGCTTTGCTTTTGCATCCTGTAACTTAATATTTGAATTTACAAGCAGTGCACTTTGCAGGAGGCAAGGATGTGATAGCTTTCTAATTATTATTCTCTTCCTAGTTGTCATCAACTGTAAAAAAAAGTTCCTTCAAAACTGTTTTGAAATGTTTTGCTTGTAGCTTTAACACTTAAAGACATTGAACTTATGACTACTGCATGGCCCTTAAGCTGTTTGTAAGCAGCTTCATCTGAGTGCTGTGGGCTAGGATCTTCTAAACCTTCAACCCCCCTTAAGCTGTTTGTAAGCAGCTTCATCTGATGAGTGCTGTGGGCTGGGATCTTCTAAACCCTCAACCCTTTCTGAGGGCCTCAGGCCTTTGCACTTTGAATATCCTGTAATCAGTTTAACTCTTCCTATTCTTTCTGATCCTATATGAAA